AGAGATGGATAAACATAGATAAGGAGGTAAATGGATAATCATAACACAACGCCTAGTGGTATTTATATTACACCTTTTTTTTTAGTTTAACAACTTTATTGAAAACAAATTGATGTTAAATTTGTTTATTCTATGTAATTCAGCCAGGTCTTGACATTGAGGGTGCTATAATTGTTGGCTGCCTCACAGGACAGAGGAGATAATAGTATAGGTCATATTCATTAGTGTTATATTCTATTTGAGGACTAATCAGTGTGGGATAGCAGCAAATTGTGGATAAACAGCAAGAAAGTCCTTAAGCAATCCTGATTCAATGAAATAATTACATAGTTCATGATACAATAAGTCAGGTGGCCTGAAGTCTTTGACAGTTGTCACATTCAATAATATAGTGTTCAAGTGTTAGTTTACATGCCATTGGCAGATGTGTCTGTATCCTGTCCTAAATCTGGCTACGACAACATCTTATGTGCTGGTGGCACCTCTGTGTCACTGCGGCCGTAGAGGAGCTCTTGTCACACTCAGGGTTGAGGAGTTGAGGAGGGGAGGAGGAGGGTGAGGAGTTGAGAGGAAGGGTAGGAAGAGGTGAGGAGTTGGAGTTGAGGGGGAGGGGGTGAGAGGGTGGAAGGTGAGGGGTGACAGGAAGGCAGAGGAGTGAGGTGAGAAGGGTTGAGAGAAGGGTGAGGGGTGAGAAAGGGGTGAGGGTTGAAGAGGAGGGGGTAGGAGTTAGGGGTGAGAGGAAGGGAGAGTTGAGAGGGGTGAGAGGAAGGGGTGGAGGAGGGTGTGAGGAGTTGAGAGGAAGGGTGAGGAGTTGAGAGGAAGGAGAGGGCGTGAGGGAGGAAGGTGAGGAGGGGGAGGAAGGGTAGAGGAGTGAGAGGGGGTGAGAAGGAGTTAGAGGGGGGAGGGAGGGTGAGGGGGTGAGAGGAAGTAGAGGAGTGAGAGGAAAGGGGAGGAGTTGAGGGAGAGGGAGAGGGGCAGAGTTGAGGATGGAAGGTAGAGGGAGTTGAGAGGAAGGGGTAGAGGAAGGGGTGAGAGAGAGGAAGGGGTAGAGGAGGAGGCGGAGGAGGAGTGGAGAGGAAGGGAAGGGTGAGAGGAGCGGAGAGGAAGGGGTGAGAGGAAGGTGAGGAGGAGAGAAGGGGAGAGGAGGAGGAGTGGAGGGGGTGAGAGGAAGGGTAGAGGAGTTGAGAGGAAGGGTAGAGGAGTTGAGAGGAAGGGTAGAGGAGTTGAGAGGAAGGGTAGAGGAGTTGAGGGGGTGAGAGGAAGGGTAGAGGAGTTGAGGGGGTGAGAGGAAGGGTAGAGGAGTTGAGAGGAAGGGTAGAGGAGTTGAGAGGAAGGGTAGAGGAGGTGAGAGGAAGGGTAGATTAGTTGAGGGGGTGAGAGGAAGGGTAGAGGAGTTGAGAGGAAGGGTAGAGGAGTTGAGAGGAAGGGTAGAGGAAGGGTAGAGGAGGGGAGATGAAGTGGACTGGTTGGTATATATATTTGTAGATACACTGATTAGAAATCTTCCTGTAATAATTCGGAGTCCTCGTCTGATATAATTACACTCCCTATTTTAATGTCATCAAATTGGCTTGTGTTGCTGTCTGCGCGTATCTCATTAATTTTTTATAAGCTCTTATTTCATCCATATATTATACTATTTATATAAATTCAGAACACCGTAAATATATTGAAAGAGTTTAGATACTTGATGTGTTTCACCAAGTCTTGCTGCTGAGTGGGATTGATTAACAAGTGTCAAGGGATCTACTAATCCTACAGTTGTCATTGGTCCTAACACCGCCAGGCACCTCCCACTCTTTACATTGTTGGCCAATAATAATGTAACTTAAGCAACAGGGGTTTTGGTCAAGGTCATAATTACAGAAGCTTTATGTCCTGGGAGTGAAGATGATACAGGAAAATAGATAAATAGTAGATTGACAGGTAGGTGTAGATGGGGAGATAGATAGATTTGTAAATGTATAGTTTGGAACTAGTGCCGTGACTATTATAGTATTCCTATTGCTTATACGATGAGCTTGTGAGAGTTTGTAGTTTTTGCTAGTGTGAGGAACCACCCTCCATCAATCCCCTAAATTTTTAGTTTTTTCCCACGCTATCACCCCCACCCATATTCCCACTCCCCACGGGATTGCCATTAATATCTCTTTTACCACCGTCTTTAACACCAGACTGATCGGTCGCTCTAGGGCGTCATCAAGTGTTTTGTATTTCTACTCGTTTTCAATTTTTATTTCTGGGTCGTAGATGTCCCAGGTGTTGCCGAATCTTGGCCACTTGTGCCACTACAGCGTGGAGATGGCCACTGTCTGCCAGGCTTTTTGTTTTTCCTCATTTTCTAAACACGACGTCAACGCCTTGTGGTTGGATAATTTAACAGTGAAATGAGACTCCACTATCCAAAGGTTCCTTATCAGATAGAACACCACCTTGGCTACCTTGCCACGGTGGTCATCGACAGTCGTCCAGTGCATCGCCTTCAGGAAGAAGAAAATTGTCTACTTCATTAACTGTTCGATTTCGTTTGGCGACAGTTTGCACTGACTGGAGGGTTTACTTTGACTGGAGGGTTTACTTTGACTGGAGGGTTTACTTTGACTGGAGGGTTTACTTGGACTGGAGGTTTTACTTGGACTGGAGGTTTTACTTTTATCCGTTTCTTCACTGACGGTCTCATTAGCCGCTAGAACAACCTCGTAGTCCATTTACTGTCGGATCATGAAAAGAAAGTTGACGAACAGCAGCCGCTCCTGTTGTCCCATGTAGAGAAGTGCTCTTATGTACAGCCTTTAGATGTCCTTTCGCCTGGTCACGATGTCCTTACTCTGCCACATCGCTGTATAGATCTTTAACCAGTCCATCTCGTTCTCCAGAATTGGGAAGGGCGTGTTGGAGAGCCAGTCCCACAAAGTGATCATCATGACTCCCGGGGCGTACTTTTGCGGCCTAAGGTCGGGATATATTTTGATGCTCCGTCTAATAAAGAAACGACCCCATGCTCCGTAGTTTTCATTTTGGAGCATTTTGCGAGCTTCCATGATAGGCCGGAGACCACGGCTCCCGATGGCCACCATTAGTTGCTGCAGCGTTGGGTGCAGCTCTTCGGGAGAGTAAAGTTCCTCCAAACTAATTTCATAATCCATATTATCTAGACTATTTATTATTTATAAGAGGGTCGTTATTATTCTAGTTTCTTTAAATAAAATCCTATTGGACTTAAAAGGGAGACCTTGGAATTTTTTCTCCAAGACAATGTGTAATAATAAACATAATAATAATAATAATAATAATAATAATAATTAAAGGTTTATTGAAAAACACAGCAACCAGAGACAGAAAATATACAATAGACAAAAATTGGCGTTTGTGGTAGTGTTATAGTTGTGGTAGAGGTTATAGTGTAGTTATGGTGGTGTTAGTGTACTTCTGGTACTGTTATAGTGTATAGTTGTGGTATTATAGTGTAGTTGTGTTAGTGTAGTTGTGATGTTATTATAGTGTAGTTGTCGTATTATAGTGTAGTTGTGGTGTTATAGTGTAGTTGTGTTAGTGTAGTTGTGATGTTATTATAGTGTAGTTGTCGTATTATAGTGTAGTTGTGTTGTTATAGTGTAGTTGTGATGTTGTTATAGTGTAGTTGTGGTAGTGTTAGTGTAGTTGTGATGTTGTTATAGTGTAGTTGTGGTAGTGTTAGTGTAGTTGTCATGTTATTATAGTGTAGTTGTCGTATTATAGTGTAGTTGTGTTGTTATAGTGTAGTTGTGATGTTGTTATAGTGTAGTTGTCGTATTATAGTGTAGTTATGGTGTTATAGTGTAGTTGTGTTAGTGTAGTTGTGATGTTATTATAGTGTAGTTGTCGTATTATAGTGTAGTTGTGGTGTTATAGTGTAGTTGTGATGTTGTTATAGTGTAGTTGTGTTAGTGTAGTTGTCATGTTATTATAGTGTAGTTGTCGTATTATAGTGTAGTTGTCGTATTATAGTGTAGTTGTGTTATAGTGTAGTTGTGATGTTGTTATAGTGTAGTTGTGTTAGTGTAGTTGTAGTTGTGGTAGTGTTAGTGTAGTTGTGATGTTGTTACAGTGTAGTTGTGATGTTGTTATAGTGTAGTTGTGATGTTGTTATAGTGTAGTTGTGATGTTGTTATAGTGTAGTTGTGATGTTGTTATAGTGTAGTTGTGATGTTGTTATAGTGTAGTTGTGGTAGTGTTATAGTGTAGTTGTGGTGTTATAGTGTAGTTGTGGTAGTGTTAGTGTAGTTGTGATGTTGTTATAGTGTAGTTGTAGTGTTAGTGTAGTTGTCGTGGTGCTATAGTGTAGTTATGGTGGTGTTAGTGTAGTTGTGATGTTGTTATAGTGTAGTTGTGGTGTTATAGTGTAGTTGTGGTGTTATAGTGTAGTTGTGGTAGTGTTAGTGTAGTTGTGATGTTGTTATAGTGTAGTTGTGGTGTTATAGTGTAGTTGTGATGTTGTTATAGTGTAGTTGTGATGTTATAGTGTAGTTGTGGTAGTGTTATAGTGTAGTTGTAGTGTTAGTGTAGTTGTCGTGGTGTTATAGTGTAGTTATGGTGGTGTTAGTGTAGTTGTCGTTGTATTATAGTGTTGAGTTAATGTAGTTGTGATGGTATTATAGTGTTATGGTGTAGTTGCGGTGATTTTGTGATAATTATCGTGACTGGGGAATATATTTAACTCCATTAATATGATCACTTGATTACATTGGGGCGATAGTACCAAGCTATATGGTCGTAATATCGTCCATAGAGGGTCTGATTTTTTTTTTGGGGGGGGGGGGGTAGGTTAGGTTAGGTTAGGTTCTAAAGTGTTAATATTTTTTTCATGAGAATCTTTCCAACTAAGGTATAAGCAATTTTAGCACAGATTTGTTTGGCTACCGAGTCTACCAATTTCTGAACTTATTACAACTATTTCAACCAATTTTTACATTATATTTTCCTATTGAAATTAACCGGTTTTCCCTTTCTTTCCATTGCAGTTTGCGGTGACATCCACGGACAGTTCTACGACCTCATGAAGTTATTCGAGGTTGGCGGCCCGCCCAACTGTACTAAATATCTGTTCCTAGGGGACTATGTAGACAGGGGCTACTTTAGTATAGAGGTAAGTTATTCCTTTGACAGTTCTGGGAAGTCTTTAAAAAGTCCTATTACAGCTGTGAGAAACCTCAAGTCTTACTACAGTCCTATTGCAGCTCTAGAAATTAGTTTTTTTTAGTCCTAAAAGTCCAATTGAACCTCTGTACATATTCTAAAATTCCTATTGTAACCCAATGAAGTTTTTTAAACCTCGTGGAAGACCTAAAACCATTTTATAACAGAGGAGTACTGTTAGAGCTCTCAAGAAATCCTAAAAGTCGTAATTATGACAGTTTTGTATATTCTTTTGAAGTTTATGAACTCTCTCTCTCTCTCTCTCTCTCTCTCTCTCTGTCTCTGTCTGTCTGTCTGTCTGTCTGTCTGTCTGTCTGTCTGTCTCTCTCTCTCTCTCTCTCTCTCTCTCTCTCTCTGTCTGTCTGTCTGTCTGTCTGTCTGTCTGTCTGTCTGTCTGTCTGTCTGTCTGTCTGTCTGTCTCGTCTGTCTGTCTGTCTGTCTGTCTGTCTGTCTGTCTGTCTGTCTGTCTGTCTGTCTGTCTGTCTGTCTGTCTGTCTGTCTCTCTCTCTCTCTCTCTCTCTCTCTCTCTCTCTCTCTCTCTCTCTCTCTCATATATATATACAATGAACTGCTCACCCTATACGTACACGGGCAGTTAGTAAAGAGGATAATTTATACGGCGGATATTGAAGTGGGGAGGCTACTGTAATGGGGCTATTTACACGGGAGCTGAAGGTCATTTATTAAGTCTCTGTTAGGGAATAGTACTTGAGTTTAGTAGCCAGGCCAAGTTAGGTTAGGCACGGCACGAGGAATAGCTCTTAGTCTCATGAGGTACAGTGAAACCTCTATATAATGGACTATCTAGAGAGAAAAGTCTGATATATCGAGGTCCATTTGATGTGAAAAATCTCCCTCTAACGAACTATAGGGTATATTGAAATGAAAGTTCGTTATATCGGGGGTTCATTAGATGTTAAACCTCCATCTGATGATTTATATGAAGAGAGAAATTCGTTATATGGAGGTTGCACGGTACTGTAATACTAGTGGGGAGACTCGGAAAGATTTGTAATTTCTGGAGGTTATTTAGACAAGGAATTACATTTGGAATTTAATGATTTGTTGACTTTATTTACCTTTGTCTTTTCCTGGAGATAATTTGAATAGTTTTGTCTTAAAACTTTTAGAGTTAATGGCGAATACTCTAGAAAATTAGGTAATTACTCTATTTACCTGGATGTGTCATTAGTTTTCACCTTGTGCGATGGTAATTGTTTTTTTTTTTGTTGAGGAAGTTCATGTAATTTTGTAGAGCGGTATCGGATAATTGACGTTAATTTACCTAAAGTCTTGTGTGACAAAGACGACTTCAAGAATTATTTAACAACTGCAGTAGTGACTTGTGCTTGGTGGGCGAGGAACAGTCAATCAAATTATAATGAGCGACCATAATACACGTCTAATGATCTCGGTTTTTAATTTACGGCTCAAAGATGGCGGACAAGATAGTGTCGAAATTATTTTACCTTTCTACCGTCACTACATACGTTCTCTCCTCTCCGTTTAGGAGGAAAAACTTATCGTAAGGATCTATCGGAGTACGTCAGAACTTGTTGCCACACCGTTGATCTGCCAGTAGTGCCGGCCCACACCCTCACTGATGCTTTTTGTCTCGGTAATTTTCTCCAGTGTGTGTGTGTGTGTGTGTGTGTGTGTGTGTGTGTGTGTGTGTGTGTGTGTGTGTGTGTGTGTGTGTGTGTGTGTGTGTGTGTGTGTGTGTGTGTGTGTGTGTGTGTGTGTGTGTGTGTGTGTGTGTGTGTGTGTGTGTGTGTGTGTGTGTGTTTTCCCACTGTTGGTTCTCCTTTTCGTCCACATGACTCGCCTCCTGTACAGTATGTGTCTGTACGTCTGTTTCTACCCGTCTCTGATGTTACTGACGTTGCGGATGACGAATGCAGATGAGCGAGTGAGAAAGAGAGAGAGAAGGAAGAAGAGGAGTAGTAGCAGTTCGCTATGAGGTGGTATAGTCCTGACCTACACTTGATACCTGACGTAGTGCATCTTAGATTAGTGATTATTTCCTGGGCGGGTTAATAAGAGTGAGATTGTACGAAGAAGTTCAAAACCGGGTAAAGTAAGGTTGTGTGCGGTTTGTCGGAACTGTTCTCGGCTACAAGAGGCGGGAATCGGTATGGCAAGGTAGAATTAGGTTGGGTGGAACTGTTCGGTGCTACGCGGGGTTGGGTAAGGTGGGGTCAGACGGGGCCGAGCTGGGAGAAGGGAGACGGCAGGGGAAAGTGATGATGATGGTGTTATTGTGTGTCAGAGAGAGAGAGAGAGAGAGAGGACGGACGGACGGACGGACGGACGGACGGACCTACCTGTTGCGTGCCCCAGACTTTGGTGGTAGGGGCAGTAGTAGTGGGTGGTACTCTAGCCCCAGTAGTGTGTTATTGATCGACGCCTGACACTCATAATTAGGACCTCCCCCCCCACCTGTCTCGCAACGCCATAACACCCCCCCCCCACACACACACACACACACACACACTTCTACACAACTCCCGACTTTTAAAAGGATTTACTTGTTGGAACTCATTGATGTTTAAGCATTGGTTATACGATCCAGCCGACGTCTGAGGCGGTTCAAATTATAACTAATAATTGAAAAGTTATTATCCAGGCTCCAGTTAATAGCAGAGTACACCTGTGTCCGTTTCACTGCATTTCACTGTAGTTTGTTTTGTTTGATTAATAAAGTAAATTAGTATCTGGTACGTAAGCCACCGATCACATGTTCTCAAACCTGTTCCCAACCTGTGGGCCTTTTGGCTCGACACTTTAAGCTAAGTGAAAATTTTGCATTATGTTAGAATTGGTGTGGGAGGTAGTGGGGAGAACTTTAAAAGGCTCTGTTACGCAAGAAGCAGTCAGCAAGAGTAAAGGCTGTGAAAGTACGTGGATTGTGTCAGAGAGAGAGAGAGGGAGGGAGTGAGAGAAGTGAGGGAGGGAGGGAGAGTAGCTGAGGAAAGGTTTGTTTTTCTTTAACTCAAACATTGCCCATCTTTTTTTTTATAATTTCAACGATTAAAGCTGCCGAATTTTCCAACTCTCGCTGCTTACCACCATCGACTTCAGGGCATAAACATAGTATTGATTAAATTGTTCGGTTTAGTACGTTATTTAATGGTGAATTGTCGCGAACAAGCTTTATTTAGAACTACAGGTTTAGATTAGGTACAGATTATACATACGTTATTAGATTTGGCTGTTTTTTTTTTTATATGTTCCCAGATTATGCCATTCAAGGCGTAACTATAGACCAGGGACAGAGAGGTTTATATATTCCTTCCCACGGGATGACTAGCATAAAGTCGGTAAATTATCCAAGTTATGAAGAAAACTATAACACATTGAGTACATAATGGTTGAGTGTAGGTACAGGAACTCACACGTAAGGTAGTTATTATCTCAGCTCAGGAATAAGTAGATGTTTATTATCTATATTTGTTTATGTTGGGAAGGGTGGCGAATATACTGGAGTACTGGACACCAAGCCGTAGCTGTAGTGTACATACCAGTATCTCTCGTCTCGCAGAAAGGAAAAAAAAACGGACGTGTAATTGGGAAATATGGTGTTTATTGACCTCAATCGTTGTATTGAAATATTTAATAACTATCTAAGGTAGATTTTGGGGGTGATTTATGTTTGGTTATTATTATTTTGTTTTATCAAAAAAATCTTTGAACGTGAAACAAAATAAAATTTTCATAATTGTTCTTTTTATTCATTCAGTAGCGTCATATACGGAGGTATATATATATGTGGGTATGGTTCCCCGTTATACAGGTCCTTGAAGTACCCGAAAAGTGAGCCACTTTATGGTGAATGAGTACCCTGTTGGTGGTAGATGTGGTAGTGTGTATTTATAATCTGCGCCTTCTTTTTTAAGACTAATATTGCTATACAGTAATTTATTTTCAGCTAAAACTGATACAAGGACAATGAACTGAGGTGCTTAGGTTTATAGAAATTGACGAAGAAACCTGTAGAGGGCGTTGCTACTGTACTGCAATTTGTTGAGAAACTGACCTAATTACATCAACAGGCAGCAAGAATTAGTCATAACTGTGCTAGTGTTGGATGGTCGTATGTCCGGCAGCGTACAGTATATGAGACGTATTAAGAAAAACAAAACAAGAAAACATTGGTTGTCAGTTAGTCAAAGAAGTCGGGTAATGAAGCCAAAAAACATTTTATTGTTGGTGCCGTCTTTGTCGCCACCGGGGGAAAAGACACCTGTGTTTCACGTGTACAATCTAGCGTGGTTGTGGCAGGAATGACGCACTTGAATCTTGTGGTTTGTTGACGGTGGTTTTGAGGTAAAGACCAACAGTTGCAGTTACTTCTTCCAGCAGTTAGTTAGCAAGTTGTTAACCTAATTAGGAAGGACTTGAGTAATCTAAATTAATCTACTAGACTCGATGTATGTCAAATTGGGTAGGCCGATTGTACAGTAGTCGTGTACTGTATAGTGAAATTTTTCAACGCTGCTAAGTCGTAATTAAGGGGAGGGGCTACTCCTGTGGTTAATGACTTAAGGTGTACACGATCGTTGTGCTCCTGACACGGACAGACAGACAGACAGATCGATCGATAGTGGACTGTGTTGCCCCTCATCCACTTACCTTGCTTATACACCCCGTTGCTACCGCTGTGTATTGGCTACCTGTGTGGTGCACCCAGCTTTCGTGTGTGTGTGTGTAATGGTGGTTAGCTATCAGGGTGTTGGAGTGTAGATGTACTGGTGGGAGTGCATCAGGTTATGGATGTAGGTATGTTCCATATGACTCCGGATTTGCACATGTAGGTGTATGTAGGTGTAGATGTACTTATAGATGTGGTGGATATTATACTTGAGAAAGACGTGATGAAATATTCACCCGTGCTTACCTATTGTAGCGTACAGTATGACACACAACCCAAACGTCCAACCCTCCTCCCCA